TACCAAGATTTTTCTTCAAAATGAAGTCTATTTCTAGTTCTTCATTCTTTCCACTGAGGTATAGTTTTATTTTTACACCAATGTCATATTGTTTTGGGCTTCCCAGGTGGCTCAGTGGGTAAAGAATCCGCCCGCAATGCAAGAGACACAGGAAATGCATGTTTGATCCCTGGTCAGGAAAATCCCCTGGAGGAGGACATGGCAATCCACTCCAGTATTCTTGCCTGGAGAATCCCATGGACAGAGGAGCCTGGCAGGGTCATAAAGAGCTTGAAGAGACTGAGCATGCACGCACCCTTGCGTATTGTTTTACGCACTACTTTGAAATCGGGATTAAACACTGCTCACAAAAAGAAAAACACAAGGTTATTGAGAAAGCAGATCACTGGGTGCCTGAGGGTGCGGCAGAAGGGTAAAGGGACCCAGGAGGGAGATGGGATTTGGGAGGATGATGAAACCATATTGTATCTTGGCTTAGGGCTGGTTGTACAATTCTCTGTATTGTCAAAACATTGAATTTTTCTCTGTGTAAATTATACTTTTAAAATGGCAGGGGGCAGGGAGACCACTACACAAAAAGCACACCAGATAAATCTTTAGGAAGAAAGAAAGGTTGGTCCTTGACAGAGAGCACAAACCTTGGAATTCTGTCCTGAAAACACAGTCTTCCTTGCCTCCCAGAGTGTGTCCAGGAAGGCCAGATTAGAAAAAGATCAACCCGCTCCTGATGGCTGATGGGCTAGGGGACAACAGCAGGCGGGACCACCATTGCCTGCTCGCTGCAGAAACTGGGAGCATCAGGGCTCAGCCTATGGAGCTCAAGTTGCCTGCTCAGGCCCTGTTCTTCCTTCCACCCTTCAGGTGACTCCCAACCAGTCTCCTGTTTCTCCCTGTCCCTTCCCTTCCTTGCAAAGCTTTGGTTCAGGCCAGAAGCAGCTGTGTTTTTTGCAGGCCCCAGAACAAAATGAAAATGTGACGCCCCTTGTTCAAACATCATTAAGTTCCAGATAGTGTCATTAGGGCACTGCACCAAGCCTAGGCCCTTCTGAGTGTAAGGCCTTGGTGACTGCACAGGTCACACACACAAAGTTGGTCCCAATTCTGGCCCTTTCCCTCGGCTACCTAAGGGATCCACCCAGAGTCACAGGACGTGAAGTTCTGTGCCAGCTTGCCGGGCTGCCCAGTATCTGTCTTGCCTCCTCTCATCCCTTTCCAGACAAGACCCTCTGCAGACCTCCCCCACACTTTCCCATGCCAAAATCCAGGCCCATCCTGGAATGCCCTCATCCCACCCTACTCCACAGGAAATATCCCCCCACCCCCCCACCCACAGCAACTTCTGCCCCTCAGGGAAGCTTGCCTCTGTTAAAGAAAAAAGAAAAAAAAAATCACCATGACATGTGTTGAAGAGTGGTAAGGAAGACTTTATTCAGTGGAGGCTACTGGAATGGGATTTTATGTAAGGGTCAGAGAGTGGCCTCAATTCCAAATACAAGGGAAACTATATTTCATAGCCAAGGTGCAAGGTGGAGGTCAGTGGATGAAAAATTACTGAGGAAAAATCAGGGGGCAGGGGGAACTGGCTAAACGACTGCAGAGAATTCTCAATGAAGGCAGGCCAGAGTGACCAGACAGAATGTGGGAGATGGTGGAGGTGGAGGAACCAGATTGGAATATGGAGGGTGTTCAGACATAGAATATGGGAGACTCTGGCTAAGCTAACTTAGCAGGATTCTTGCTAGAACTGGGCTGCACAAGGAAGCACACAGAAAGGCACAGTCAGAAAGCTTGGAAGTGCCTGCCCAAAGTTTGGTCAACCTTTATCCCCTCGCCCCACCCTATCACCTAGAGTGATAAGTGAGCCAGCTCTCCTCTGAACTCCCATGGCATTCAAACTTCACCTCTCATAACATATTTCACTTTTTGTTTTTGCTGCATTATTTCATATTTCTTGTTTTTTCTATAAGAGCACGTTATCTTTTCTGAATCCAATAGAGGGCTCAGCCCCCACCTACTAGAATGGTGGGTTATTGCCATCTGAATTGTCTCTATTGACTCCAAATCCGCCGCCCCCCACCCCACCCCCCAGTGTTTTCTGGGCCAGAACCACAGCAGGCGCTGGGGATGAAAACAGATGTGGCCCTGCTCCAGCCATGCCCACAGCCCAGTGGGAAACAGAGGCGAACTGACCATTCCACCAGAACAGACAGAGCTGGTGGAGGGAAACAGGGGCTGCAGGCATAGGGAGAAAGGAATTGCCTGGATAGGGTGTGAGTTCAGCGAAGGCTTCCCTAAGGAGGGAAAATCTGAGCATCATGGTCAGGGAGTGGCGGGGAGTCTGCCTGGAGAACGAGGGCCCAGAGGGCTGTTGGGATTAGGAGGGGTACCACCATCAGTGATCCTGGAGGCAAGACTGTTGGAAGCCTCAAGTGACAGGCTAAGGGACCCAAGGAGCCACTGGAGGACGCACACTATCGAGTTGAGAACAAGAGGGACCAAAGGCAGGGAGTCCAGTGCAGGGAGCTAGTCTCAGTTCTGGAAAGAATCAGCTCTTGGGCCTAGTCTGCTGGGAAAGGGGGTCAGAGGACAGCTGGGGTGCTGAGGGATCCACCAGGGGCAGGATGGAGGGGCTGCCCCAAGGGGTAGCCACTGCAGTGGCACCTGTGATCAGCTGGCCCCAGAGCTGCCCAGCCGGCTTGGGGACAGGGAACTGGTTTTCCTGGCAGTGATGAGCTAACCGGATCTGGTTCCCTCTGCGCCGCCCCAGCTTCAGCTCTCTCGCGCCCTCCCCTACGTTTGGGCCTGGCCCTGGTTTCTGGCACAGATGCCAAGTTTTGGTACCGCCCACCCACTCCCTGCTGGCTGTGCTGGCCGGCCCAGCTCCCTAATTTCTGGGTGGGGAGCTCTTCTGCAGAGCTGGGACACCACCAAGTAGACCCCAGCCACCGTAGACCACATGGGTAGCCAGCCTGACCAGCTCCAGCCCATGGGGTGAGCCAGGCTTCAGGCTAGCACTGAGCTCTGGAGGGCCCTTTGGAGGAACCATTGACCCAGAAAGCTTGATTGGGTGGGGTGTGTACAATGGGTATCAAGGCCTGTGAAGAATAAGCCTGCCTAATCCAGGTGTCCCTGCTTTCCCTCCCCAGGCAGAGGGCCTGGCTTAGGGGTGAGCCCAGATAGCTCTCAGCAAAGCCCAAGGGTCTGACCTGTCCACAAGCTCTAGTCAAGCCTGGCCAGGACTAAAAGGGGCTGAGAAGGGTGGGAAAGAATGGAACAGAGGGAGGAGCCCCAACCCAGCCTCCAACCCAGGAGACCCAAACACACCCCCTTAGACACACCCACCACCCACAGCACATCTCTGCTGAACACACCTGCCACTCACACAGACATAAACACATTATCCCCACAGCAGACAGCACACACACCCCACTCTCCGCCCTAAAGAGGCAGGGCACACTGGCTCACACTCCACAGCTGTGTCCATACCCCTGCACACCACTCCACCATCAGGGCCCACCTGAGGGGGCTGCCAGGTGTGGCCAGGGAAGGAGCAGAGCACAGCCACAGGGAGCAAACGGGGGGTGTCTGCAGAGATCTGAGGTGGCCCCTGTCCCACCAGGCAGCCTGGGAGGGAGATGTCTGTGTATTGATTCCCCTGCAGCAGGAAGCACCTCATTCAACCCTGAGCCCCCAGACCCCAGACAGCCTAATGCAGCACCAGGCAGACAGACAGGAAGTGCTCCATGTATGGCAGAAGATACACTAATGCATCTGTAAGGACACCAAGCTTCACAGCAAGGGCTGGGGAGACGCCACTTGCATAGCCTGACTGGTTCTGTGCTCTAGGTAACCCACCAGGAGGGAGCAAGGGTCCAGAGAGGATGGGAGTGGTTTTAGGGGCCAAGGACCAGCAAGCCTTGGCTAAGAGCAAGGATCAGGCAATGCAGGGCCGGGGACAGGGGTGCTTCCTCCCAGGACAGAACTTTCCAGAAAACAAATCAGATCACACCTCACACTCCTGCTCAAGAATACCCCATGGCCCCGTATGCCTGTGGGGAAATGTCCACATTCCCTGCTGCGGTTCTAGTCCTTTATCGAACTATCTCTGCCTCATTTCCTGCATCTTTCCTGGCCCTCATTCAATGGAGGGAGGGGTACACAAGCCAGAGAGAAAGGTAGGAGGCAAGTTCCGGGAGGGGCAGACTACTGAGGCATAAGGCTCTCCAGCAGAAGCTGTCTTAGGCTGGCCCCACATCCAGCCGGGCCTGGGACCTGGGAGCCCAGACTTTTTACCAAGAGGACATTTCATATTCTAGCAATGCTTTGGTTGACTTGCCCCTTTGTTTTCTTGGGTTCCCTGGCATTGTTCCCTATTAAAAGTCTCACTGATGCTAAAGAAAGGAATTTCAGCACATGGCAGCTAAGAAACTTTGTGGTGCTAGGGCAAGGATCCCTCCACTCCCCAACGTGCCTGTCCAGCAGCTGCACACAGAGGTGCAGGGTACACCCTCCCCGCCGATCATGGACATGGCGGAGCTACAGTCCAGGCCAACAGCCCCAACCCGGACCTTCCACAGTCCTCTGCACTCAGGCCGGCGACAGGCCTGACGTTATCACCTGGGAATTCCTCGTAGAAAATGTGATTTTATTCTGGGGAGGCCAAAGTTCCCATCCCAGCCTCCCCTCCTCACACTGGCCCTTTTTGCCTCACAGGGCTCTTCACTTGCAAACCTCCTTTCCTGGGCCACACCTACTCCAGGGCTGGGCTCTGCCTGGAGACTCCTCAGCCAGGGCGATCTTGCCCTGGCTCCTCCTGCTACTGGCACCCCATCCAGCCCACAGCCCCACTGGATCCCTCCTCTCGGCCAGCCTCTCCATCCCTGGCTGGTCTCAGCAGCTTCCATCCCAGACCAATGTAAGGAAGGAGCTGGCCGTCTCAGGGTGGGCTTGTCCAAGCCATCTTCTGACAGTGCCTCTGCTGTCAGCTTGCTCCGAGGGCCTCAGATCTTGGAGGACTCAAGCCGAGGGCTCCAGGGCTCCGGGGGCTCCCGCAGCGCCCGCAGCTCCTGTTCCAACACCTGGTTGCGGCGATACATGTCCATGTAGCCGCCCTGGATCTCCCGCTGGTAGCGCAGCACCCGCTCCTTTTCCTCCTGCCACGTCTGCCGCTCCTGCTCAAAGAGCAGCGCCTGCTCCTGGCCTCGGAGCCGCTCCTGCAGGAGCTCGGCCCGCAGCTTCTCAGCCCCATCTCTGGCCTCACCGCCTCCCGCCTCCCCCAGCAGCCCCCTGCTCTTGCAGTCATCAGTCTCACAGCTGCCTGGGGCCTCCTCCCGAGGGGCCTGCTCCTGCAGGCTCCGCACGGCCTCCCGCAGCCGGGCCAGCTCTGCATCCTGGGCCTGGGCCTGTGCCCGGCTGCCCCGAAGTTGTGTCTTCAGGCTGAAGATCTCAGCTAGCTTCTGAGCCAGTTCCGCCTGGGCTTCCCGCAGCTGCTGCTTCAGGAGGCTGATCTCTGCTGTTTTCTGGCACACCTGAAGGGGGACAGGGACGGGCAAGAGCCAAGCAAAGCAGGTTGGGGGGGAAGCGGTCAGAGGGCAGGCAGAGGATGGCACGACAGCAGTGGGGGCAGGAGTCTCTGAATGCCGGGTCACTCACCTCCCAGCGGGCTTCCTCCTCTGCTCGGGCACTAGGATCGGCCTCTGGGAGGCTGCCTGGTGGCCGGGGCTCCGGGCCCAGGCCCCGCTGTGCTAGCAGCTCCTTGCGTAGGCGCCGCTGCTCCTGCTGGGCCATGAACAGCTGCAGCTGGAGGTTGCGCTCACTACGCTCGGCCTTCTGGGTCACCTCTTGCAGTCGCTCCAGGTAGAGGCGCTTCAGCTCAGACAGCCACAGCCGCTGGCGCTCTTCCAGCACCTGCCCAGGGGAAAGGGCACTTGCCATGGCCCAAGATTCCCACACCGCCCTGCCCCCCCTGGATGCCAAATGCCTGTACTCCCATGGCTGGCCCACTGCTCCAGCTGCTTCTGACATTCTCTGTCTCAACACCACAGGGTCCAGGGTGCAATGCTTTGGGCACACATGTGCCCCAACCCAGGATGTGTCCTCTGGAGGTGAAGTGTCCCCAGCACACGGCCCTCCCAGGGAGTCTCCCTCCCTCACAGCTTCCTGCAAGGACCACCAATGATATGACATCCCCACCATGTGGGGCTTGGGGAGAGACCCAAACTCATCTCTCTCTTCTTTACCCTCCTATACCCAGAGCCCTGCAGGAGAGCTGGCAGGTGACCCTCTGTCTGCCCTGTACACTAATGCCAGGGGTCAGAACAGGTGGCCAAGGCAACAGCTGCTCTCACCTGTGTGAAGGGACTGGCGCCATCCTCCTCACCCAGGCCCCTCTTGAGCTCCTCACAGGTGTCCGGCATCACAGCCACCATGTCCTCAGCGGCGGGGCAGGAGAATTCGTAGGGGGGTGGTGGTTCGGGCAGGCAGTTCAGCAGAGACAGTGGCCCAACCTCCTTGGAACCCCGTGAGGCCCGGTCCAGGGAGCCCCCAAGATGGTTAATGTGGCCCAGGGAGGAGCTGAAGGGGCCGGGGCCAGTGCTGGGACTGTGGCCAAAGCTGCCCCCGCTGGAGGACTCAGACAGACTGGGCTCGGGCTCGGGGCCACCCTCATCCAGGCTGAGGGCGTGCAGCAGCTGGGCACGGGCCTGGGCCTGGCTGGCCCGGGGCCCGGGGCTCAGGGGCGGGTGGCAGGCCAGCGTGTGCAGGCTGCCATTGCTGCGCCACAGCTTCTGGCCCTTGTGGGCCGCCAGGCTCTGCATGGACAGGAAGCCTTTCCCGGTGCCCGAGGCCGGCTTGAATACTGATGGGCGAATGCGACACTGCCAGAAAGAGAGGGCAGGGATGAGGCTCTGGGCTGACTGCTCTCTGATGCTCCCTCCCGAAGCCCCTGGGAATCCTCTTTGAGAACAAGGGGTACATGTCACCAGGCCAGCCCACAGCAAGACTTCCATGTCCTGTCCCAGCCTCGGGGTCTTGAAGGAGGGCCCCCCTCCCTGCCCTGCCACAGTAGGGAGGGGAGGAGCCGAGGCACACCTTGTCAAAACGCCCCCGTTCAGGCAGCGAGGTCTTGCTGAAGTCACCAGCCCGAGAGTGCTCCCGGTAGTAGAAGGTGGCATAGTCGGCAGGCTCATTCCGAGGGGCCCGCTTGGTGGTCTTGCCATCCTTCTTGGGAAGGTGCAGGTAGCTGAGGAGCTCGCGCTGGCCCAAGCCTTTCCGGAGGAGCCCATCAGGCTGCCGGGAGCCCCGAGACCCTGCGAGCGCCGCCCGTAGCTCTTCCGGGGAAATGTCCTGCCGTTCCAACAGGCTGCCCACGCTGCCCATGGCAATGCCAGCAGGGCCTGGGGCTGTGGCCATGAAGTGTCACCAGGGCACAGGTGGCTGCTTCTGGGGGTTGGGAGGCTCCATCAGGGGCAGGCACGCACTTGCTGCCCAACTCTCCAGATGCCCTAAAACCAGCAGCTTGTTCTCTGTGTCAGCTCCCCCACCCCAGCCCACCCAGGAGTGGCAGATGTGGGCTCCAGAGAGAATCCGGAACAGGACCCCTAGAGAAAGTAGTAGAAGTCCCAAGGCTAACTAGTTCCAACGAGGGGCCAGGGTGTGACTGGGGTCACAGGGGTCCAGGACCTGAGCAGTAGGATAGGGGCCCCTCCCAGGACTGAGCTGGCAGAATCCATCTCTGACTCTTAACTTTGTTCATTCTCCTGCCAGGCACCCAACGTGGTGGGTGGGCGGAGGGCACAGGGAACCAAGACCAGTGGCCTCAGAAGCTCCAATCCTTCTTCTTCCTTGGGAGGGGGGAAAAAATCTCATTCAACCCCTCTTCCTGCAGAGGGTCAGAGTTTTCCCAAGGGAAGCACCTGGCACGGGTGGGGTCAGGGGCTCCAGCGGGACGGATACAAACAGGAAGGGCCCAGGGGAAGGAAGGATGGCAGGAACAATGGCCACAGTTTCCGGAACAGGTGCTCATGTTGGGGCAGTGGTAGGAGGCAGGGAGACGGGGCAGCCAGAGCCCCTGCCAGTCCCTCTAATATGCTGCCACTTCAAAGCCCACTGCCAGGCATCAGGGCACCATTCCTGACCCAATGTGTGGAGCCAATCAGTGTGTGGCCCTGGCTTCCTCATCTGGACAGTGACTATGTCCACTCTTGTCACTCATGGATGCTGGGAGGGCTGGCTAAGATTAGAGGATAAAATGCCCAGTCCATGGCCTGGCCCACAGCCAGGGTCAACACGGGCTAGCTGAAGCTGAGCTTAGCTGGTAGACACACTAACACCATCGGCGAGTGCCCGAGTGACGGGGTTATGGATTGCCTCCCACCTGTGGGGGACCACACTGTGGAAGGCAGGGCCTGTCCCCAGTGCCCCGCTGGATCCCCTGTGTCCATCCCAGCACTTGGCACACAGTAAGTGCTCAGAAAGGACCTGCCAAATGAACGAATGCCACCTTCTCTGCCTGTGTGCTACGCTTAGACACAGTCATGTCCGACTCTTTGTGACCCCATGGACTGTAACCGCCAGGCTCCTTTGTCCAAGGGGATTCTCCAGGCAAGAATACTGGAGTGGGTTACCATGCCCTCCTCCAGGGAATCTTCCCAACCCAGGGATCGTAGCAGGGTCTCACGCATTGCAGGTGGATTCTTTACCATCTGAGCCACCAGGGAAGCCCAAGAATACTGAAGTGGGTATCCTCTCCAAAGGATCTTCCCGACCCAGGGATCGAATCAGGCTCTCCTGCATTGCAGGTGGATTCTTCACCAGCTGAGCCACCAGAGAAGCCCCCTTCTCTGCCTCCTACCCGCTATTCCCATTCCTGAACAGACACCCAGCAGGCACGATGCAGCTACAAGTCCGACGTGCCCCACCCCAACTGCCCCAATCCAATATCCTTCCGGGACACAGGCTGCCCCAAACAATGGTTAGGAGGTTCCATCTTCCTCAACCATTTCCAGGTTTTGTGTTTGTAGAAGACAAAGCTCTCAGCAAGGAGGGAGAGAGAGGGGTGGAAGGCACGGCTCTGCTCCTACACCCTGAGATCCTCAACCTTACCTTGGGCAAAAGAAACCTTCCCAAGCTTCCCTTTCCAGTACCCAGACAGCTCAACCCCTCTGGGGGTGCCACAAGCCACACAGGTTAGGGGAGTCATCTAGATAAGGGATGACAGGTGCTGGGCACCTACAGTGATGCGGCCCTATGTAGGGGTCTCACAGAGTCCTGGCACATGGTTAACTGTCTGTGTTTTTTAGGTAAGGGCAATGGGGCTCCAAAAGATGAAGTGGCCTGCCCAAGGTCACAGAGCTGGTCAGAGTGAGGTGCTGGGCTGTGATTACAGTACAATGACTCGAAATGTCTAGTAGGAACCGACAATGTCACCCACAACCCAAGAGTTGGAATCAAAGCATCTTGCCTCCCACTCTGACACCCCTTCACCATGACAAGCCCACCGAGCAAAAGACAAGCCCACTGAACTCCTGTGACTGCTTCCTGGGGAGGTAGACAGCAGAGAATCTGGTCTCCAGTCCACCCTTACATTATCTCTCCATGGGACACCTCCCTTGACCATGCCTCAGTTTCCCCCAAATGGGAAAGACTACTTTCTCTGCCTTCCTGTAGGGTTGCCGTTGACAGCCAGCACAGGGACAGGGAGGTGAAAGGGCTCCTGAGCTGCAAGCCTGGTGAGAGCCTGGGGGCAGGGATGGTGGCAGGGGGAGCCAAACACGCCCACTTCATCTCAAACACACACTGCTTCACGTTCCACTTCATCTCAAACACACACTGCTTCACGTTCCCCTGGCCACAGCCTCATTTCCTGTCTCAGGGAGCAATAATCAACTCCCCATAACCCCCACAGAGGGTCTCAGATCCAGGGGAGAAGCAGTCATGGGCCGAAACACGCACACCACGTACATACTGCAGTCTGGTCGGTGCCACCAGCGGCCCAGATGCTCCTCCGTGAGAGGACACAGCGAGGCTCACAAACACTCAAGGTCATCCATGCAGCACTGAGCACCTTCCACACACAAATACCCAGCTGTCCTTCCTAGCCCTGAGGCTGCTAGATGTAGGCAAGTGTGTGTGTGTGTGTGTGTGTGTGTGTGTGTGGCAAGGAGGGCATGGGATCGCTTTTCTTCACACTTGAGTTGAGCAATTTGAAATAACTCCGGAGCGACACAGAGGGGCACCAACAGCGCTTCCCTTTGTCTTTATCTAAGGCCCCCACCCTCCCCCCTCCTCTATCCACCCTTCCTAGATAACTTCTCAGGCTGTATTATTAGCCCCTTCCCCTTGGGCCAAGGCCCCTGGCTTTCAGGAGGCTCTCCCCTGCCCAGGTCTCAATCTGGGGACAGTCCTTTTTCCTAAGACTCCATCCACCTCCCCTGCCTTCCCCACATCCCCCAATACACACATTCCTTCCCGTTGCTTGGAAGCCCAGGGACTGGCCCAGGGCAGCTGTTCGGGAGAGGATGTGGTGGGGGAGGAGAGAGGGAGAGACAGCAAGTGCCTTGCAGCACCACTGGGGAAAACAGGGCCTCCTCCCCCAAGTGCCTGGGCTCCTCTACCCAGAACTCATGACGTGCCTGGGGCCCAGAGCTCTGCACAGAGCAGAACCTCACCGCCACCACCCCACTGCTCTGCCAGCAAGCTTTCAGCTGGTCACGTAGGCCCTATTCTGCACAGGTCCTGGTTGGTCCCAACAGGGTCCTTTTACTCCTGCTTCCACCTTCCCCTCCACCCACTCCAAGATCAGACAGCCTGGACACTGGGAGCATCTCTCTGGACCAACTCTTGGTGGAGACCGGAGAATGGGGCTGGAATACGGCCCTGGCCATGAAGCAGAAAAAGACAGGACGCTCAGGGAGGCATCCTGGTGTCCCTTAGTGGGTGCCTCGTTGGGTCAGCCTGATGTTGGGCCTGGCACATGCTCACAACACACATGGGAGGGGAAGAGTGTCATCCCCCACTTCCGAGGAGAAAACTGAGGCCCAGGAGGTAAAATAAGGTGCCTAAAGTCACGTTCAGCTGCACAGGAAAAAGTCCATAGGCTCTCTACATTTAGAAGCCTGCCCTGACCCCACAGCGCCATCTCCTCTGGAGTGCACCCAAAGCACTTGGGTAGGTAGCTCCCAGTCCGACCTCAACTGCCTTTAGCCCCTCGTGAGCCCTGGCCCCAGGGAGGGTCCCACCACCTGCTGGAGGATCAGCTTTGCTGAGGGGAGTGACTGCAGCTGCCCTTGAGGAATGGGACTGGAATGTCCCAGCTCCAAACGAGGGGGCAGTGGGTAAGAGGGGCCCAGGGAGGAGACGGGAGAGGCTGGCATTCCATAGCCCCATTTCAACTCATGAAGAGGCAGAGTCCTGCTGGAGTGATTCTTAGTATCACTAAGTCACTTGCGCCCTACAGTTTTTATCAGCCCTTTCATCATCTGATCTCCGCGACAGCTTCGTGGAGGCACGCAAGACAGTAGTTACCCTTACCCCATCCTTCAGCTAGGTAAACTGAGGTCCAAAAAGAAGTAAGCCGCCCATGATTCCACATGACCAGCAATCCCAACTCCCCAGGCAAGGCCCTCTCTTCTGCCCCAGGCTGTCCCAGCCAGGAGTTACCAGCTGCCCTCCCTGGGTTCACACACTGCTGTGGATTATGTCTGCTCAGCTCTGCACACCTGCTTCTCCTAAGGGTACCTGCAACCAGGTTGGTTTGGATCCCAGTCCCCTCAGCCTGGAATACCCACTGCCTGCCCCTGGGTCAGGTAGAAATAGTGGAAACACCGCTGCATGGGCACTGTGAGCCCTGGAAGCTGCTAGTTCCATAGTCGCTGGCGTTAGCAGACTGGCCGCTCTCTTTCAGTCTGGCACATACACACCCACACACAGCCAGTCGGCAGGAGAGGAGCCCTGCCCAGGAGGGCTCTGGGAGGAGGCAGATCACCGGTTCCAGGACGGCCTCCTGCCTCTCTCCTTCCCGGGGCCGGCCAGGGAGAGAGCACCACGGCGGCGGGACAGGCTAAGCCTCTGGTGCAAGCCAGGAGACAACCGGTCTGCTCGTGGAGGCGGGAGGGAGGGGATTGCCGCGTCGGAGATGACAGGTCCCGGTCCTTTTTTCCGGACGCAGTCACGGCCCCGATTTCCGCCCGGCTCCAGACGGGCCCTCACTTTGGCCAAAGGTTGTGGCCAGACTGGGATGGTGCTCAGGATCCGGGAGCGTCCGCTCTTCCCGGGAACCCTGACAGCAGGCTGGCAGCTGCCGCTCATACAGGGCTCATATAGTGGAGGAAGGGGTATCCCGGAGGGGGCAGGAGAAGACAGGAAGCCGTCTCTTGGGGAAGGTGGAGGTTGGCATCTCCATGGAATTTCCTCGCGGAAGGATGTGGCAGAGGCGAGGGCTCCCCCAGAAATGGGGGAGGTCCCCAAGCTACCTGAGGTTTGGGAGGGGATGTCTCTCCCAGGCTTCTCTCTAAGACTTACCCCGAACGGATGGGCTGTGGGCGCGGAAGTCGAGGTCAGACTCCCGCGCCAAGGGCACCTGCCCCACCCCAGTGGTGGTTCAGGGGTCCCAGGGACTCCTCCAAGGAAAGCGCGTTTTGCATGGGTTACGGAGAGCGTAACCAGTCGCCTGCCCTTTCAGCACAGCTTCCCTGCCCGCGGACGGTCCCCGATCCCGCACCTCGGTGTTTCGGTGTCTGGAAGTAAGGGGTATCTGGGCGCACACCTCACCTTGCCACCCCTGCCCACTTCTCAGACGGGAACCTCGCCCGCGTAGGGCTGCGGGCTTGGCCAAGGTCGCCGGGAAAGCTAGACCTCGGCGGCGGCCAGCCCCACCCCCCCGAGGCCAGCCCCGGGCCTCGGCTCCAGCCCTCCGGTGCGCCCTACTCACCATGCTGGCGCCCATCCGCACCCCTCGCGCGCTGCAGCTTCCTTGCGCGCGGATTTGAACCCTTCCTCCAGGGCGCCAGCTCCGGCCGAGACTGCGAACCAGGCTGGAGCGGCCAGGCAGCAGGCGCCGGGAAAACGCGGGCGGGCGGGCTCCGGAGCCGGATTGGCGAGGGAGGGACGCGTTCGGCCGCGCTCGCTAGCCTGCCCCAGAGGCGGAGGGAAAACCCGGCCTGACTCACCGGCGTGCGGCCGACCCACAGCCCGGCCCGGGCCCCCGGATGTGGGGGGCGGGGACGGGGGCCACCCCCCCGCCCACCGCGTGCCAACCTGCGCCCCGCCCGGGCTCGCGACTCCAGCCTAGCCCAGCCCGCCGAGACGTCGCGAGCCGGTGGCGCCCAAGCCCCCTGCCGGTTGCGCACTGTGCGGCGAACTCCCGGACGCGCCGGCTCGGACCCGGGCCGGTCTACAACCCGAAGTGCGGCCTATGCTCCCAGAGGGCGTCCAGCCCGCCCCGCTCCTCCGCCGCCTCCTCCTGTTCTAGGCTAGCCCGTCCGGCTCGGTTTCCAGAACCCGGCAGCTTCCGAAGAGGCGCATTCCGTCTATCATCTCCCTGATTCTTGCCGCCTCCCCTTAGGTAAGCAGCATTATTCCCTGGCGAGGCTGAGCTAAATAGTACTCCGAGAGGTGTGGAGAGATTTGCCCAAGATCTCGGGCTCCTTAGCAGTTGAATTGGGCGCTGTGTTTTTGTGGAGGTTTTTTGGTGCCAAAGACTTATAAAGGGAGCAAATTCAGATGTCTTTAGTTCAGTTCAGTCGCTCGGTCGTGTCGGACTCTTTTTGTTACCCCATGGACTGCAGCACGCCAGGCTTCCCTGTCCATCACCAACTCCCAGAGCTTACTCAAACTCGTGTCCATCTAGTCGGTGATGCCATCCAACCATCTCATCCTCTGTTGTCCCCTTCTCCTCCCGCCTTCAATTTTTCCGAGCATCAGGGTCTTTTCTAGTGAGTCAGTTCTTCTCAGCCTGTGGCCAAAGTATTGGGAGTTTCAGCGTCAGCATCCGTCCTTCCAGTGAATATTCAGGACTGATTTCCTTCAGGATAGACTGGTTGGATCTCCTTGCAGTCCAAGGGACTCTCAAGAGTCTTCTCCAATAACACAGTTCAGAAGCATCAATTCTTCAGTGCTTAGCTTTCTCCACCGTCCAACTCTCACATCCATACAGGAATACTGGAAAAACCATAGCTTTGACTATACGGATCTTTGTTGGCAAAGTAATGTCTCTGCTTTTTAATATGCTGTCTAGACTGATCATAGCTTTCCTTCCAAGGAGCAAGCATCTTTTAATTTCATGACTGCAGTCACCGTCTGCAGATGTCTTCAGGGGCCAGGCAAATAGTGTGAGTCAGACTGGCAGGTGTAAGACAATAGAAGAGATGGAAACCGAGACAGAGGTGGACACCTAGAGGCATTCAGGTTCAAATATGAAAACAACTCGTCTTCTAAAAAAGGTTATAAATATATAGTGAGGTATGATCCAGCAATTCCGCTCCTAGATATATACTCTGAAGAATTGAAAACAGGAATTCAAACAGGCACTAGTGCACGGAGGTTTGTAGCAAGACTAGTCACAGTAGCCCAAAGGGGGAAACAACCCACTTGTCCATCGACAGATGAATGGCCACACAGAATGCGGTGTGTCCAGAGATGGACTATTATTCAACCATAAAAGGGTGATTTGGATGATCCGCCAGTTTTGCTGAACCAGACACTAAAGACTGCATGTGGTATGGTTCCACTTATATGAAGCAGATAAATCCAGCAGAAGGCAGATTAGGTCTAGATGCTGTGGGGAGGGAAGAATGAAGAGTGACTGCTTGATGGTGTAAAATGGACTGATTCCTGCTGTATCAGTAAATAAGGATGTCAGTGATTTCAAGGCCTCCAAGAGTGAATTTCTGAGCCCGGAGGGGCCCGAAAGGGAGAACAATGCCTGCGATCCCGCAGCTGTCAGCTGCTATCTTTCCCTATGTCACTCCCAGCAGTGAACAAGGAACTAAGGATGTAAAAAAGAAGCAAGAAGCAAGATGCTGGCCCCAGATAGCTGAGATGTGTATGAAAGGAAAGATTCCAGTGAGCCCAGAGCTTGCATCTTCCTATACATAGAAAAGGGCTAGATTCTTTAACTTGAGATATCTAGTTTTCCTTAATTAACAATAATCTTTGATGTTCAGTCTACCTGCTCCCTTTATTGCAAACTTCTGTATAACCTGACTCCTTCCCCTGCCTCCTCGGTACAGTTCTTTCAAAGTTACTTGAGCAGCATCGAAACATGTATATTATCTAGGGTGAAACACATCACCAGCCCAGGTTGGGTGCATGAGACAAGTGCTCGGGCCTGGTGCACTGGGAGGACCCAGAGGGATCGGGTGGAGAGGGAGGTGGGAGGGGGGACCGGGATGGGTAATACATGTAAATCCATGGCTAATTCATTTCAATGTATGACAAAAACCACTGCAATGATGTAAAGTAATTAGCCTCCAACTAATAAAAATAAATGGAAAAAAAAAAAAAAAACAAAGTTACTTGAGATGCCGTCCTCTGGGCTTGAAGTCCTAAACATTCCCACCAAATAAAACAACTTTTCACTTTCAGGTTATGACTATATTTTTTAAATCGACAACAGATGTGGGGTTTCCTTTTGCAATGAGGAAAATGTTTCGGCACCACATAGAAATGGTGGTTGCACAATTTAAAATGGTTTGTTTTATATGATGTGAATTTTACCTCAATTTAAAATAAGAAAGACATCAGGACTTCCCTGGTGGCACAGTGGATAAGAATCTGCCTGCCAGTGCAGGGGACATGAATTCAATCCCTGGTCTGGAAAGATTCCACATGCCACGGAGCAGCTAACCCCCATACCATACCACAACTACTGAGTCTGTGCTCTAGAGGCCACGTGTTAAAACTCCTGAGCCCACGTGCTGCAAGAGCTTGTGTTCCGCAACGAGAGAAGCCACCGTAATGAGAAGCCAGCTCACCACAGCTAGAGAGTAGCCCGCACTCCCCACAATTAAAGAAAGCCCGCTCAAAGCAACAAAGACCCAGTGCAGCCAAAAATAAATAAATAATTAAACAAACAAAAAGACATCATGTTACCCTTGAATCAGATTTGGCCCACAGGCCACCAGTTTGCAACCCCTGTCTTCTATGCTGTCCTTACCAGTGTTCTAACAGTGGAAGTGCTAGAATTCAGAGGACTTGTCTAATTAAGAAAACTCATTAATAAGTATTTTGGGTTTCAGCTCTTGGGGAGCCCCTAGTCTGATAGGGTTACATATGAAGCTTTAGCACAAGTACACACTTCACCTTTGGGGGAACCTGAAAGAAGGCCTCATTGGGAAGTGGCTTTTGAGATGGTACTTGAAGGATGGGAGGCATTTCCATGGAGGAGGGTGCTTATGATGAAACGAGAGCCTGTGGCTGGAGAAAGCAGCACATGGTCAGTGAAGGCAGAGCCTTCACCTTACTAGTGAACCCAGAAAGCTTACTAGTGAACCCAGAGCCATGGGGTAGGAAAGGTCAGTGTGGGAAATGGAGCACAGGTGGCACATTTGAGCAGACTCAGAAAGGCCAGACGATGGGAGCCTCGAAGGTGTTGAGAGAGGGGAGTGGGAGGACCAAGCTGGACTTCGGGGCATGTACACAGGCCCTGTGAGGTAACTGAGGAAGGCAGGATGGATTAGAGGAGTGTTAAGGAATAGAAACAGGGCTACAAAGGGAAAGGGAAGTGAGGAGAGGAAGAGAGGAAGGATGTTCATGAGATGGTCTGAGAGAATTGACTTGTCTTGGCAAGAAATTCCGTGGGGAGGAGAGGGAAGGGATCAATAGTAAGTGACTTATCCAAAGTCTTCTAATCACCCCCCCCTAACCCCCAGTCTGTTTTTTCCCAGCCAGAGGGAGGTAGGAGGGGAAGGGTGTTCAATATCTTAGAACATTCCAGGAGGAGGGAAAGAAATCAGTTGATATTCTGGAGCCCAGAGATATAAAAACAGGGCAGGGAGGAGAGAGGGGCCAGAGAGTCCCCACTGAATGGAATACCAGGAAAGTGGCTGCAACCGGAGACAGCAGCTGGTGGTGGGAGGCTGGCGGACCTCTGGCTGCTGGGTACCACGATGCAGAGTGCAGTGGGTTGGGGCAGGAGTAGAGAGCAGCCTGACTCCATCTCTCTAGCAGAGCTGTCATGAACAAAAACAGAGCTCGGTTCTGTGGCCCCATCTAGCCTGGACCGGGCTACTGGTCCCAATCTCCTGCACAGGCTCTGGTCTCTATACTGCTAAGAGCACCCCATCACTTCCCCTCAGAAGTTGAGGAGCTGGCCTGGTAGATGTTCCTTCCTGCCTGGCTTCTTGGAGCCCTCTGATGATGTCCGTGTCACCTGGATGGGGAGTGCAAGGCTGAGGGGACCAGCTGCCTTCAGCACTAATCTAGAAAGTCCCTCCTCTTCCTCCTCTTCCTTCTCCATAGCCATTCACCCTCACATCTCCCCATGCATATTCAGAAGCTTAACGGTTGTTCAGTTGCTACGTCGTGCCCAACTCTTTGTGACCCTAGGGACCACACCATGCCAGGCTTCCCTGTCCTTCACTATCGCCTGGAGTTTGCTCAAATTCATGTCCATTGAATTGGTGATGCTATCTAACCGCCTCATCCACTGCCCCCCTCTTCTCCTTTTGCCTTCAGTCTTTCCCACCATCAGGGTCTTTTCTAGTGAGTTGGCTCTCAGCATGAGGTGGGCCAAAATATTGGGGCTTCAGATTCAGCATCAGTCCCTACAATGAATATTTAGGCTTGGTTTCCTTTAGGATTGACTGGTTTGATCTCATTGCAGTTCAAGGGACTCCCAAGAGACTTCTCCAGCACTACAGTTCTAAAACATCAGTTCTTTGGTGCTCAGTCCATCTCTCACATCCGTACATGACTACTGGGAAAACCATAGCATTGACTATATGGACTTTTGTCGGCAAAATGATGTCTTTGCTTTTTAATATGCTGTCTAGGTTTGTCATAGCTTTCCTTCCAAGGAGCAAACATCTTTTAATTTCATGGCTGCAGTCACCATCCACAGAGATTTTGGAGCCCAAGAAAATGAAATCTGTCACTGCTTCTACTTTTCTGCCTTCTATTTGCCATGAAATGATGGGACCAGATGCCATAATCTTAGTTTTTGA